CGCGCACGGGCAGATACGGGTCATATGATAAAGAATTTTAGCATCAGGTTTACYGTTAATCGCTAGGGATCAAGCCAGAAGCATTCCCACAAACACTGAGAAACACTCAGCATCGTCAATGAAATTCAATATGGCAGCTATTCCAGCAACAACTTCATTATATTACACCTTGCTAAATGTCAAAAGTTTGACAGAAAACACCTGAAGTTGAACTGCAGTGTGTGTTTCGTGCTACCTAGCAAGAACGTTGTGCCAAAGGTCTCTATTAAACCCTGGTCYCAGAGGTTTTCTTTCATTTGGAGCTTAGAAAGCGTTTTTTTTCTTAGAAACTGTGACTCTGTCACTCACACTTTCCTTTTGTCYGCTGTCATTGAAGAAATGCATGGAAAGAAAAAAGAAAACTTGTATTATAAAGAAATGCCCTTACTTTATAAGAAAATTGCATTTAGCCAGCAGAGGGTAGACGATGTATTCAAATATTGGGATGAGGACGAGAATGAAGACTGGATTAAGTGCCTGTAAAACATGAACAAAGATGCATGAGCATTACTGGAAAAACCATCTGGAGATTCTCTAGTGAAGGAGAAAGTGAGAGAAAAACTCCGAGAGAAGTCTACTTTGAGAGAGAAGGGGAAGTAGGGGGGGGATCTTATAATCTTATAAGTCATTTACCTGCACTTGGTCTGGTTTTATTGTTCCTAGAGCTCCCTACAGGACAAAGAGATTAATACAATATCATTATCAACACAGAAATGCATTACAGAATCAGGGGGCATCTACACACTAGTCTTATACACGTTAACTTTTTTCATATTTTTTAAAGTTAAAATGAATATAAAATGAAATGAATAAATAGACTGAAGTTATTTTCAGGCCTTAAGGGCGAGGTCTGTTTTCAAAGCCAAGGGCACAGTTTTACCCTATCCAGACTGACTTTAGTATGGTAAATACTGTAGTTATTTTGCAATTGGTTTTGTAGCTTAGCTATCTGATATCCCATATGTGCACTCTGCATTAGTAGGATACCCAACCATGGTCAGAGATTGTCACTACAACAGCCAATCAGAATGCCAGTTTTAGGACACCCGGACCAGAAAAAAAAACATTTGTTTTATCAATAATATAATGTACACTGTAAAATTAAAAAAGAGTTACTCACAATATCTCCATCCATTTCTTCAGCTTGTAGTGTCCATCGAGATCCCTAAAATGAAATTCATTGCAAATGAAGTCTGGTAGTYAAGCGAAATTGTATTGTATTCAACAGGGGTGGGTCCAGGAAATTTTATAACCAGGGGAGGGGTGGAAGASAGTCTTTGAAAGAGACTATCCTACAAAGAATTAAGATTAATTTTGAACTTTCATGTCACCATTTTAAAAATCTAAAGTTTCTTCAAACAAAAAGTGTCATTTATTTTAAAGCTTTCAGCACATCTTCAGGGATTACAATCATGGTATTATTCATCATAACAGATTTTGTTTAAAATTACATTTTAGTGTGTGTGAGCTAAGTTGTGCTAAACYGTGCACCACAGGGTAAAAAATGTCTTCAAAATGTCGTCAAAAATGTTTTCAACACATTGTGCTTCAAACCGTAAAAAACCTCATGTATAATCTATATGGAACACGAAAGCTTCAAGACTATGACAGTCATGTCGGCTGGAAACTAATCATGTACCAATGTATTTCCACTTACTTGTTGGTCAAACAGAGTCCAGAACACAGGCATTGGTAGGAACATGAAAAGAACTTTGAGCAATGCTTTGATGTCACTGACCATCTTTGTCTGTAAAGGGAATGGATACTCTAAATATAAGYCTTCAAGCCCAAACCTGAAAAATGTATTTGGACTTTTTGTGGGAAGYAAGGATAGCATTAGAAGTGAGAGAGCTTGCCTCTCACCAATATTTGAGTATAGCCATGCTCATTGGTTCTCTCCTGAGCCTGGAGGGGTGTTCTCAGGGTTCTAAAGGTCTAAATTATTTTTCTCCCTCTGCAAAAATCAGCTAGTTCTAAATTTCAAATGGAAATGAGTAAAAAACTACTGGTATTCYGTGGATTTGAAACAGTGTTGAGTCCCATTTATTTAATCAAATATTTTCTAATTTTGAGTGTGAGGTCATTTGTTGGTCTGGGAACAAGTTTTGTCAAGAGAAGGAGCCAGTCTGCTCGGACTGAATGCCATTACCAGCATTTCGTGTTATAACTAAAATCTAAATTTATTAAAAAATTTTCACTAACTAATGTCGCTTTACCCTTCACATTTTTATCACAAAGTGGGTCTCAAATGCCTAAGAAAGTACTAATGAAATTAAAAATAAAAGATACTTTGGAATAGGCTACTTTCTTTCAAAGCTTGAAACCAGCTGTTAATGTGGACTCATAAGGACCCATGGAAAAATTGTTTGTTTTAGTTACAAACCTTCAGAGATGTGCACCCATTGAGTGTCTGGGTGTCCAGTTACTTTTTGGGTGTCCAAATTAATTGGGTAACACTTACCCCATATTTATCTTCAGCCCAGTCCATCCAGTGTTCTTTCTTTACGTTTTTATCTTTTCTGGAGCAGATACACTTTTTAATAGCATACTGAAATGATAACAAATATAATGATCCTTCATCATTACATGGCACATGTAGCAATGGCATATGATAAATGTTGGTTAAATTGGGATACAAATAACTGTTGAGGGGTCTCAATATTTTGACAACCCTAAACTTGAGGCCAAGAAGGGAATGAGTTATAAAATGTAAAGCTTACTCAATTGGCACCCATGTTTATTCTCATGAAAAKAAAAKAAAWWTTTTTTAAGCCACGTAAATTTATTCTCAAGCACTTGAATACGAGGCTACATGTGGGAAAATCTATTGTCAATTTGGCTGATGAGTGATAAGGCCAATAAAGGACTTACACACACAGCAACAGTTTACGTAATCACAATAATAATTATGGCATTCTGACATACCCCCACTGCACAGGACACCTGCATAACAACATTGCCCTCAGGTGGAACCTTCTTATACTTCTTACGACCACACCAAAACAAAGCTATGTAGGTATAGTACAAAATAAAGCATATATTATTAATTCATTGCTTGATTTTTTGGTTGTGCACAATCTCATCAGATTTTTATTTACAGTATGTGTGTCTGACTCAAATAATCCAACTTGTAATTGCCTAAGTCAGAGTAAATACCAATTGTTAGTCATTCTAATTTAAAAAAACATAATAAATTGTAAATGTGAATATTCTTTGATTTACTTTGGGAGTGTTTCTTATATAGCTTTTAGATAGTACTGTATGTGTGCTCTGATTGGTCAAGAACTGTGCTTATTAATAATTAATTAATGAACAGAGCATGGTTGCTGATGCCATGACAATGCATGCACAACAACTACCTTTGCAAAGAAGTGTAAGAAAACAGACTTKAAAAGAACAAGGAATTTTGTTTTCTATATTATTATTATTAATCTAAATTAATCTATAATAAAACAAATATAATAGCTTTTTYCTGTGCTCCATACAATAATATAGCACTTAGGAAGTGCTGAAAGCACTCAAGAAGTGTGTCTTTCTGTACTTCTTTGGTGCTAAGGTTATTTCCTGAATTCTCAATATGAACTCAAGACATRTTACTGAGTGAAGCACAGAAAAAGCTGTTTTATCTGTTTGTTTGATGCTGAAATGAGGCTAATCRTGAGTAAAGGAGTCTGTAATCAAGAAGTTATATTCATTCAATAATTGCTGACATACCAACAGAAGTGATCATGAGTAAAGCAGGGACACCAAAAGCTAATGGATAACAGCTGTTACCAAAACAGTTTACATCACCTGAATTAAAAATAAGACACTAATGTAAGTATTGGCACATTTATTTTAGTTTGAGAGACTTAAGAGATTGGGAATACCATTCTATACCACTTCCAATAATTCCCCCCCCCCCCCCCATCCCAAATACCCAATGGGAGCAAGGAAGGATGGTGATCAGTGCAATGTAAACATAATTTCTGACAATTAAAATGTTTTTTTAGTGTGTGCYGATAGCCTTGCCCATGCTGTCTTTCCTAGAACATTATAAAGTTTTATGAGCTTGTGCATGAAAAACTGTAAATTTGAAAGTGTGCTGGTGTCAATGTCCAGCATTGCTGTCCTTGCTCCTGTCATGAATCTTRAGGTCTCTACACACATGCACATAAAATTGAGAACATCTGTTAAAACAGTCATATTATGGGAAGATTTTTCTCATCAGAACAGAATGCTAGGACATGGAACTTTCAGTTTTCAACAGACATTTGATAYGACCTATCTACCCGAGCAATTAAGCCTCGAAGAGAGGGCATGCTTGTAATTTGGTAAACGTAAATGTTTTAATGTTGCTTTAATTGAGTTCTATACCTCTCAGTATTGGTGTTATGATCATGGACAAGAGACTTCCAAGGTTGATAGCAAAGTAAAATATGGAGAAGAAGCTTTGGAGGAGTCGTTCCTGTTATGAGGAAAAAATGAGCATTTTATTTTATTATGTATTTAGTACATAAAGAACAAGAGGCTGTGTTTTATCGGATAATGATAAACATCCAAGCTGAAGGCAAGGATCTATAGCTCCGATAAAATGCAGACTCAAGTTCTTTACATTACTTCAAAAAAGTTTCGTTGCAAAATATCATATTTCACAGACTGTTGTTTATAATATAGTYCATATGTGCTCAAGAGATAATTTACAGTCACTGTCATATTGATCAAAGGTCATAACTGCWCATACGATATGTGAAATAATATTTTGACATTCATCTAGATGTACAGTAYGTAAAAGAGTGTTTCAATTAAATCCAAAGAGGAGCACTGTAGGTGCATTATTTACCTGTGAAGCAGTAAACTGATCACCACCAAATGCTGATACACAGGGCTTGATTCCACCAGTACCAACAGCAATCAAAAGCAGGCCAATCATAACACCAGTCCTAAGAYATTAAAATTTTGATCATCAGCCAAGGGTACAGGATGGATATATTTGTGGGAGCAGGGAAACAGATAAAATTTAGTGTGAGATCCGGGAAACTAGAAAAAAATCTTACTTGATTTGGGATATTGGCATYGGCCGTGACTCAGGGAATTGCCAAATTCAATGTTCGGAATGTGGGATTTTGCTTTCTGATTTTCAGGAAAAAGATGAAAACATTAAAAAATAAAATAAAAATGCAAATGCCTTTGAATATGTTGAATGTGGTTGTCAATGGCAAAATGTCATGGGACGTGTGATTTTGGGAAAAATAGCGTGCAATTCGGGAYGCAGTTCCCGTTCCAGACCCTAAGGGTTGTATCGAAACAATGAAACATAATTTGTTCACTGAATTTGGATTCAAGTCAAAAGACCTCACTAGCAAACTACTCATATTTACACAATGCTCCACTCACCCTTTGRTGATTGATCCATTTATCTAGTATTATAATTTTATTATCATATATCAAAAACAAAAAAATAATGAGTCTAGTGCAGTACTCACAATTTCACCTTGGCCAATATTGCTGGAATGGAAGTGACAGCTACAACAATGTTACCAATAGCATAGATTATGGATACATATAAGATAGTCCTGTGGAAAACAAGATAGGTGTTAGATAATAATATTAATAATAAGTATAGGAAATCGCACGATCT